GAAGGGAGAATCCAAATGAGCGAGTGAGACAGAGACAGATTGGATTGACGGATAAATTGACATAGTGAGAGAGGGTAGAGCAGTAGCTTCTGTATATTGCCATTGGAATTTTGATAAATTAACTGATCATAAGCAGTCATCATAGCAGCGCTAGGTTCGATACTTCGGTTCTGTCATAAGCAACGATTAAAGTAGGTAGTTTTGTGGTCATTTGAGACGAGTTGAAGGCTGTTGAATGAAATAATTTAATTTGTGATCAGATTCAGCCTAAGACACGTTTCGCCTTGTTCTGTATTTTTGTTTTTAGAACTGTATCCGCGCAATTTATTTTTATATTTATAGAACGTATAATCAAATTTTTCGATTGACTTTTCTGTTTTCAATTAAATAATTTTTAGCGGTCTTTTAATACATTTATTGATTCAATAGAAATTGTCTATATATTATTTGGCTAAGTGTGTGTATGAGAAGATTACTGACCGGTTTGTGAATTTTTTTACTAATTTGAAAATCAAAAACTTTTATTGATATTGTTTATCGGAAGAATACTTAAGTATTTATTATTATACGACCTCTATGAGTAATGCTTATTTTATCCTAAAATTAAAAAAACAAAAAATTTTAAATATATATTTTTATACTTGTTTCATTCAAAAAACTATTTATTAGGTAGTATGGAGCAGTATTAACATACAGTATTTATATGTTTTTTCAGCAGATTATTTATTTTTAGATTGAATAACGCAATGAAATGGCTAAATTTTATTCTTACATTTTTTTTTAAAATTTTTTTTTGATTTATTATTAAATTTTATTATCTATAACAACTTTAAGTATGAGAAAAACATGAAATTTTTAAATTATTTTTTTATTTTTGGTCTAATTATTTTTAATAATATTATGGTCTTAATGGTTGTATCTTTTTTTTGAACTCAAACGTTTTTACTCGTATTAAATAAATAAAATATAATACAATAATATAAAACATTATTAAACGCGTCTATAAATTTATTATCAACTATTTCACAAATATATTAACTGTAAGTTGACGTTGATATTTGATATACTATTAAAATTGTACAATAAAATTATTTAATTTTACCAAGAATATACTATTCGTATATTATATTACACGTTTCAATAATCAACGAAATATGAACAATATTCAAAGAATGTATGTTAAGTATGTACATCAAACGACATTAGGTATTTTATAGATTACATAGAATTATTATTAATCGGATAATAATCATAAATATTTTTTATTTTTATAACATAGATATCGGCGATAAATTATTTAAATAATATAAGTAAAAATAATATGAGTATCTGATGTTATGTTGCCTTTGTTTATTCCTTATAATGCACGTAAGTTAATTATTATATTTATATTTTCTAATGTCTACAAGTAAAACTATTAATATAAAAAAATTATGTTTAATTTTAATTTATCATCTTCTTTAAACAATTTTTGTGTAAAAACGTTCGATGGTTCAACATTATATTCAATAAAGGGTTAATCTCTCAAAAATTATTGTAGAATAAACGTATTGAATAAACATGTTTCGATAAAAGATTAAAAAATAAAAGTGAGAATAGTATCCATGCAATGCTTATCCAAGTTTTGCCTATGACAATATACTAAGCTAATGATTATAAAAATTAAATTCATACGAAATGAAATACTATTACACCATATTCACAGAAATATAATAAAACACAGGAAATATTAAACGTATTTTGCAAAATATGTCAATATAATATCAAACACAACAAAAAATTGATTAAATAACAATCTATGTAAATAGGTTATTTATTTATAAATTTCAAGACTAGTATAAATAATTGATTAAAATGAAAATTAGTAACAATATTTTTACGTAAATATATAGTTATTCTTAGGTTTATACAATTAATTTGTTTTATTTTAAATTAAGAAATTTACTTTTCTCATTCTTATTTTATAATTTTCAAATAAAAATACTTTAAAATATACTTTTTATTTTTTTAAGAGAATTTAGCTAGTTATTTATATTATTTTAATTAAATACCTAACTAGATATAAAGATCATATTATTACAAAAATATTTATAATACATGTTTTAACACAAAAATAAGGTTGTGTTTTTTTATTCAAATTTAATACTACAATTGTATTAAAAAATATGTGATGTTTATAACTGATATTTAAACTATAAATTATTTTATCTACTTACATAATTGTTTATATTGATTGTTTTATCATTAAATAATGATATTTCACCAACTATTTTATTTAATTATAAAGTATATAAATACTTATTATACTACAGAAAATAATTATTTTGTTTAATGTTTTTTTTTTTTTTTACAATTATTTATACAGTCGATTTTATTATTATTTTATTTCTTTTCATTTCAAATAATTTTAAACATTTTTTTTTTTAGCATAATGATTGAAAATTAATTTGCTATGACAAAATAACGATTAATATTATATTAACATATCATAAAATACCAAAAGTGTGAAAATAATATTATAACAAAGATTTAATACATGTTTATTAAATTTAACTTAATTAAATTGTTTTCAAGAGTAAATGGCTTAAGGAAACACGTTTTTACGAGCAATGAAAACAATAAATGTAAGTTTATACATGCTGCAACAGACATTTAATTTTCATTACTTATGAAAGTACATTTACTTTTTATTACGATAGTCACTTGTTAGTTGTAGAATAATATTGAGATGTATCTATTAGTGATACATTTTTAAGTCGCAACCAGAAATATCAAAATTAAAAATACTTAAGAGGAAAATATTCATCATGAATTCACTGGTACTATTCAGCCAATACATTTTATTTAAATTTAAAAATATGAATATTTATCAAATAATATTAATAAATAATGATATATTTAACAATAAATTATCAAGTAAATTAGTGTAAATTTCCATGTTTTAAAATTACTAAGTAAATATTTAAAATATATTTGATGTATCTATGATAAAATAACTTAATAAATTAAATAACTACCAACAAATTTATTAATTCGAATACATATTTTGTAAAAGGTTGAGATAAAATGATTTTTGTTCATAATAAAAAACTAGTCTTGACAATTTAATACATTATTGAAGACGGGATTTTTTGTAGTATTTTTAATTTGATTTAATATTGAAAATAAAACTATTTTTTAGATTTTTCATTAGGTTTTTGATGTGTTACCTATAAATAAAATAGTATAATAAAGAGTATTGGGAAAAGGCTATAAAGTAGCACCGAAATTGCATGGTTCAGAGGTACGTGATAAACCTTGTAGGATAAGTCAGAGATGGTGATAAAATTTTAAGAATTTCACCAAAATGACCCTAAGTTCCAAAAATATGTATAAAAAAAAGACTGGGGTTGCCATGTCACACGATCATTAGGAATTCCTCTACATCACATTTCTTAGCTCTGCAATTTCACAGCTTTTTAGTCATTTAAAAATAAAATAATTATGAAGATTTCAATTTATTTGAAGTTGTGAAAGTTAGTTTACTTCACAAGAATAAATCAAAGTCTTAGTGACTATTAAAAAAAAAATTGATATCCTTATTAAGAGTATTAAATTATACCCAACAGGATGAAACTAAGCTGTAAACAGAGATAGTGTGATGTAACATTAAACACGATGGTTTAATACATTAATTAAACAGTTTTAATTTATTTAAAGTAATAAGTAGTAACATCTATATTCTAAGGAATTATAATATTGATTAAAATGTGAATATTCAAGGGTTTAATTTCAATATGTTACTTGAAAACAATTCGTCTAGATATTTTTAAAATGTAAAATATTTTATAGTATGAATTCAAATTTTAATTAAATTATTAATTAATACGCATCATATATTTTTTGTTTATGTATGTAACAATATTTTGCTTTTAATAAATTATAATTTAGTATTTAATACATAATTCTATTGCCATTTAAACTATTTTAAATTGTCGATAAGAGCATTGTGTAGTAAATCTTATAATTGTATACCTATCTTAAAAATTAAGATTAGAGCTAATGCTCTGATCTAAAATGTGATGACAGGAAAAAATTATTACATTTCAAATTGAAAAAACAATAAAATTTCGCTCTATTCAAAATCTATTATAAAGTAGGGAATAGCAAATAGGTACGTAATATGTATAATATATTAATTATAATGGATTTCAAAGACATCAAAATAATGTAAATAAAATAACAGATAATTTCTGGTTATAATGAATTTAATACGATACTTTCATTATTATTTTTATTGAGAGGTTTTTATAAAAAAAATCTATATTTTATAAAGTTATAAGTATCAACATTTTATAATAATTATCATAAAATTAATACATTACTTATAATATACAGTTAAGATAAATATAATAGATATTATAAAATTTATTTACAATTTAAATGAGGTAGGTATATTAATTTGTATTAAACAATATTATTGAAATAACAAACACAGTCAAGTGAAAGCAAATAATAATTTTGGCGCACATGTTTAATAATGGTTCAACTCGTTTTTCATCTTTCCAAAATATTTTGTATACGCTTATAAATTGTTTTCTTTGTTATAAAATACAACGTATTTATAAGTAAATTATTATTTGTTATATCGAATATTATTTTACAAAATGATGCATTCCTACTAACCAATAAGTTTGTTCTTTTTATCGTTGGCTTATATTTGTATTGTAATGGTAGGTCATTTATATTCAGTACATTATGTTTATAAATAGTTTACTGATCCGTGCATTGAATAATAAGAAAATAAAAACAAATAAGGTTAAAAAATATATTTCTGTAGATTTTTATTTAGATTTATGAAGATTTATGATAATTATAAATTGTAAATTTAATTTTAATAAACCTAGATTAATTCTAATCTCTGAAATAATTACAAAGGTATCTTTGTGATAATAATTTATACTTATTTAAATATCTAAATTTCTTTAACAATTGTTACAATAGTAGAAATTTCCAAATACCTTGCTAATTGATATGCGTCTATAGCTTTGTCATTTTGAAATCTGCAATCAACAAATGCTACTGTTGGTACTCCGTTACCCTTATGAAAACACTCCAATGCTTCCTCCGTATTAGTAACACGATTCACTGTCCATTCAAGATTTTTGGCTGTTGTTGAAATAGATTGCCACACCGAATCATCTTTAGATGTTACTACTAGTATCTATAAAAATATTGTAAATTACATTTTAATGTTTAAATTTAAAATATGGAGTAAACAAAACAAATATAAAAATAATTTTTATTTAGGTTTGGTTTTAGTAATCTAGTGTACAGTATTATAGAGTTTGTATGAGATAGAAGTGCGCACTACAAGAAATTTAATTTACAGTCTAATAACACTACAAAGATAATTGTAGGTACTTTGAAACAAACGTAATTGTATATATGTATATATATAATATACACACATAGAGTTCTTTTAAATCTACATAAACAAGTCCAAACTGAATCAATATTGTTGAAATAAACTATCTTGACCTATCTAAAGTCTCAAAAAAATATAGCAAATTAGTAGTTCACTTACCTAAGAGACTAACATTTAGAAACCCTATATGGTTTGGTATTCTTAAATGAGAAAATATGAAAAAATAGATAGATAAGCACTAAGTTCAAAATTATTTCTTCGTTAGCGCTCCTACTAGTAGAGTCTCATTTGACCTAAATTGAGCACAGTGAATCGCTTTAAACTGTATAAAGACTTAAAAAGAAATTTGAGAATTCTTGTTATACAAATGGGGTATGATCAATTCTTTATTCTTTGAATATGTGGTAATATGCTTAAAACTACATGCCGCATTGTCAAGGAGTGCAAAGATTAATTATGGAAGGTGAGATAACTGCGTTACAAGATGACTGTGGACAGGCGACGGTAAAATAGATTGTGAAACTTGGTTCTAATAACTAAAAAGGAAAAAGAACTAATATTATCCTATTAATTATATAGTTTTTTTTTAATATATCTATAATCGTTGATGGATTTGAATAAGTTATTATAATGTTACACACCAAGTGTCGCATATAAAAATAAATAATAATGGGTTATTTAAAAAGAGACCACGAACCACAAATGCTCATAGACCTAGTCTAAAGAATTTATTGTGACTAATGACGAAATAAAGTGGATACTTAAGTAAAATAAAATTCGATATAAGATGTATTAAAAATATATATGCATATTATATATATATATATATAAATAACAATAACAAACAAATAAACTTGTATGCAAAATAAAAATGAATAAGAATTATTATTAATAAAATAAAATAAATTATTAATATAAGTAAAAAAAAAAAAAAAAATAGAAAAAAATATTAAAAATAACATAAAAATATAACAATGTAAAAAATTTTAATTTTACTTTTTTATATTACGACCAGTTAAATTTTGTTTCTCGCACTTCAAAAAAATATTTAAACTATAATAAATCTGACAAATCTCTTCTCTTGTGAGGCTATTAAAATTATTGTAAATAAAGCAGATAGTAATTTAATTAATCAATTATCAGTTATAAGTTAATTTTTATTTATTTATAACGTTTTTAAATCTATACTAGTTAGAAATAAAAATATAATTAGTACAGATATATAAGATTCATACATCTTAAAACTTCTACGTGGAAAATTCTTATGAATGAGCATGTCAATATAATATGCCATACTTATATGATAGGTGTTTGACTATACAGTAACTCACAGAATTATATAATATTAAATATTATTGTCTTAAAGTTATGGTTTATTCTTAATTTAGCCTAATGACCCATATTTCAAGGGTATAAATAGAAAAATTAAAAAAAATATTCTTAATTTTTTATCACGAGGTGTAGAATAAAATAATTTTAAGCCATCAAATAACGCTTACTTCATTTTTGAATTTTATTTTATTAAATATAAGCCTAGAATAAAGATATATATATTTTTAAGTATTTAAATATTTTATAAGCTTAATATCAAATTTAAAATTAAATGTCATGAAATATCATACCTTTTTTAATGAATAATTTGAATGTAGATCTTGAATAAATTTTGAGCAACCAAACATGAAATTGTTAAAATTGTCAGTTGTCTATAAAAATACAATAATAATAATAATATTAATTTTTAACTTCATAATTATGAGCATTCAGTTTGCTAAAATTGAAATGTAAGAATCACGTGTAATAAATATTTATGCAATCTATCACTTAGAATGGTATAAGACCATAATATTAATGTTTTATAGTTTAGTTTTTCTTTGACTAATCGATATTTGTTAAATAATATTTAAATTCACGAAGAAGAGCTATTACATTGTATAATAATAATTTATAAATTAACTTAGTTATATAAATAAAAATATATTTGTTAAAATAAATCAGTATAATTATATTAAAAATTGAATTAAGTTGTGTCATCCAAAAATGAAGAAAATCACTCAATAACCTTAAAAAATGGTTTGTTATGTTACAAAATATGCTTAAATGTTTTGATAATATGTACAATATGTACATACATAGGTAATTAAAACACATTACTTAAAACATAATTAAGGGTATTTATTAAAAATAAGTACTTCTAAATTAATAATTTATTGTAATTGTATAATATGCTCGTTGTAATAATTATTATGCTTTTTCTAAATAGTTAGTATTCAAATTATTTTAAAAATCTACAAATAAACTGAATGTTTGAAGTAGTTAATAACTGTTTAAAACTATGCAATGAAGAAATAAATTATATTTATTTGAAAAAAAAAACAGGTAAGTCATTTTGCTATTCGGTTAAGTTTCAAGTATAGCTCATTATTTAATTTGATACTAGAATCAATGTATTTAGTTTGAAATATTTAAATTCAATGTTTAATTTTTAGAACAGCATCGATTTTTAAGGATATTTTATAATTTATTTATATAACTAAATTAGTAATTTATTTTTCAACAATAATAGATATACTTAATGAATTAATTTTAGTAAAAAAACCTCGTATTTATTATCAAGAATATTATAATATTATATATTATATTAATGTTATTTACTTATAAATTAATATACAGGCATATCGTGTAATGAAGTAAATTAAATAAGTTTGTGATATTCATTTTGTAAAATTTATCTAAATATTTTGAAATTATTATATTACGTAGGCATAGAAAATAATAATATATATATTTTATATTACTTAAGGGAAAAAGTTTCAAGTAGTATCTGTTGGATAGCTACAATAAATTAATGGTTGTTGAATCGGTCGACGTGTTGACAAAATCAAATTATAAAATATTTGTCACATACCAGTTTATAAACTAAATGCTGTATCTGTAAAACTCGACAAGTTATAACTGAAATATAATTTTGCCTTTGAAAGAAGTTGTTATTACCATTAGCGATAATTTCGATAAGCTACTGTCATTATTGTTATCTATAATTTAAACTCTATAAACTATTAGCAATTCAATTAAAAAATGACATAATAAAATTGTATCTATAGTTTGAATTTATCTTATTCAACTAAATAAAAATGTATAGATTAATTTAAGAAAAAGGATGGTCTTATACGGCACAGATAGAACAATTAATTTTAGGAAATAAAATAAGTGTTAAGTATACAAAAATCACGCAAAATGAAATACAAAAATATGTTGTGTATGATAAGATATATAAAATAAAATTTTTAAATATTCCATTATGCCTGAATTTAGATTTAATGATATTATTTTGCATATTTTATTTTTTAAATTTAATTTATTATAATATTGTTATTAAAGTATTATAATTTATTACATTTTTAATCATAAAATGTAAAAAAATATGTATAACAGAATAACAGACTATATTTTAATACACGTTTAATTGATAATTTTAGTATGAAACATAATGATTAATAGTAAATAAATAATTTACGATGTTCAATTAACCTCTTTTCAATTATTATTTAAAAATAATATATTTTTATAAATATTTTTGTTTATAGTAATTTTTTTTTAAATTTAATTTCATTATTTTAATAGATATTGGGTAGTTTTTATTTTTGAACAACAGAATTATCAATAATTTAATTCGCTAACAAAGGGCCATAAATGTTAAAACATTTAACTACTCTATAGATGACGTCAAATACGCAATTAATAAAACATAACACACCATTGTAAAACTTATGAGCTTAGAATCATCTAAAACTATTTTTCCGTTTACATCTTAAATTATTATAGATTAATTATTATATCATACTTATTACGCAAGAAAAAAAGATATAATTGTAATTTGTGATGGTTTCAAAAAGATAAAGTTTTTGGACAGAATTTTTTTAATCTATTGGGTACACTAATAATTGATTTATAGTAGTTTAAATCTGCTCGAGTTTATATTAGTATTTAATTACAGAAAACCGAGTAGAAAGGCAACAAATTCTAATTTACGTCAGTAATTAAGAGAAAAAAAGTCAGTACGATTAAATTCGATACTCAAAATAATTCGATCAACAGTATATTACATATATATGTAATATGTATATATTTATTTTTGTAAAAAGAAAACTGTCAAATAATAGTTATATTGTTTGAAGCTTATAATTTATAATCGTTTAATGATTTGTGAACAGATGATAAAATAATTATGATTTTTGTTCGGCCTTAATCATACTTACATAGAAATATGTATTATACCTATAGTTATTTTACAAAATATACAATTATGTATAAATTAATTTTTTTAAATATAATTATACATGGATACACAAAATTTTAGTACAACAACCTTTAGATTGTTTTTATAAATATACTTTTAAATTTTAATAACAACAACATCAGTGTTAATGTACGAGTGAAGGATAAATAAATTTATAATATAATTATTAAATGTATTGAAAAATTGTTTTTCTCTCATTGAATTAGTATTTAGTTATCTTCAAATCTTAAAAATATTAAACAACAAGAATTTTTTATTTTCCAGTTTTCTGAAATTGAATATTTTTTTTTTCCAAGAGTTGTTTTAAATATTTCTTTGAGTGACATCTCGTTAACTTTATTTCCATTTTTTTGCCAGAGGGTAGGGCACACATTGTATTTAAATATTTTACTTTCCCGTCGAAACTTTTGCATAATTTTACAATGTTTTTCATTGAGTTCTCCCAAATACTGTTACTATTTTTTCCATTGTTTTGGTCAGAGAAGGGCATATTTGTAGTTAATTTGAACGTTTAACTTTTTTAGTGAGTACATTAGTTATTTTTCAAATTTTTTTTTATTAATTTTGCATAGTATTATTATATCGACTTTTTTCATATTTTATATTCAAATTTTGGACATACATTTTGTATTAATAGTAGATGTGTTTAAATAATCAAAGCTGTTTCCAAAAAAAAAAAAAAAAAAAACGAGTGATGTACAATACTATGCTTTAAAGCAAAATGTACACAATCAAGTAATTTAGAGTAAGAAAACGTGATCATTTATACATGTATGCACCAGAAACTCTTAGCAAAATTTTAAATTGGTTTTTTAAAATAACGTAAACAGATTTGTGAATATTTATTTTTTATTTTTTAATTTATTTATACACAATATAGGTGCATAGATAATTAAATAATAGATAATAAATAGAAAAAATATGTAAATAACTACTAACTAAATATTCGGGGGAAATCGAGTAACTCAGTTTGATTAAGGTAAAAATATTATAGCGGTGAAAAATGAATAGTTTAAAAATCTTATAAATAACTTAAACGATCATTTTACTATACTGCCGTACAGAAATAGTAAAATAGATACATACTAAACTTTTTAATTTTTTGAAATTATTTAAGTACCAAGTATTGTTCTATTTTTAATGTAAAACTGTTATGAAGATTTTATGTAGGTATAACAGTTTTTTTTTTGTAAATAAGTAAAAGAAAATTATGGTTTTGGCTTAATGCACATATTTTGACATGGTAAAAGAAGTTATTTTACTTAAAATTACATTGTAACGTTGACAGATAATAAATAATATGAAGTTTTACATTTATAATTTTTTAATGGGTCTTATATTTACTTGCGTTAGTGGTGAATCACTCCGGTTTATTGGTGAATATGCATCTACTGTGTCCCTTGACAAGTCGGATGCAGATCCACTCCTTCGACAACAGTTGTCCCACATTTCTTGCAAGGTATCTAGTAACTATAACATTATAAATAAAAACTATTATAATTCGAAGCTTTAAGTTAGGCTAATTAATAAATTAGTTATAATAAGTGTTATGCAATTGAAAATCATGTAATATATTTAAAATTATTTTCATTTTAATTGTACCGAATTTTTAAATTAACTTTTTGTGATGTTTTGATTATTCAATTTATATTCGAGTGAAAAAATAAAAATGTATTATCTTTGAACAGTAATTTTCATTTTTTCAAATTTATTTAATTTTAATTCAGTGGCTACATTATTTAAATTTTTCTTGAATTAGGGCAATCATTTACTGATTTACTACCTTAGTTTTTATGCTACATTATGACTTATGCACATGCTAAGAGTTTAAATATATAAGTATACTGAGAAAGTTATACAATACATTTATAATTGAAACAAATTTAGCAAAAAAAAAAAAAAAAAAAATGAATAAAATAAAATTATTGAACAAATTAATAATGAGTAATATAAACCTTTTCACATATTAAACGTTTATTATGTAGCAGTTTGTGTAAGCGTGAGCGTCTTTTGCTTGATCAGTCTTTTATTAACAATTTCTAGACTTCTAATTTTTTACTAAAATCAACGTCAATGGTTTTAAAAACAAAATGTATTTATATTTTGCAAATGTTTCTACTTAAAGTTGTTAAGCTAAGCACTAAACTGGGTCAATCGAATGAGTTGCTACCCCCTTAGATAACACCACTGAAGTTTAATTTTATGATACGTGATAAAAATTAATCTATTCTTGTAAGGTACAAAAAATACATAAAATAAAATAATTTCATCAAATTGATACATTGTTTAAAAAAATAAAAATTTAGTAAAACAAACTACTCAAAGTAATATATTTTATTTTTCAAAAAGTCATTTTAAAAATATTGTTAATAAAATTATTGTATAACATAATGCTCATTCAATATTTATATAATATTTGAATGATGACAAAACTTGTTTAAAACTTTAAAACAATAAACATATTGTTATTTGACACGTGTTTATAAAACTTATTAAATAATAAATACAACCTGAAAAGTTATCAAATTTTATTGAAAATTTTCAACAAAAATAATATGTGTAATTTGTTGCTTACTAAACTTAAGTACATCATAGTCGTATATTATGTAAATTAATACTAGTAAACTTCAGTTCAATAGTATTACTTATTATAATTTATGTATAAATAAAGGATACGTTTGTTTGATGTTATTTAATAATCAATAATGAACAAATATAATCAATTTATTTGCAGATTCTATCAATTACATAAATTTTTAAAGGTTTATAAAAATGGATTATAAATCATTTTTTGCTTTTATTAATGCACTTAAATTTTAAAAATATAGTTTTTGTTAAAATAATATTTCTGTTATTTCACACAAAACCAAACTTGTCTTATTGTGTATAAAATGATGTATATTAATATTTAATATTTTTCAAAAGCAAATGTTATTTTTCCCAGGCTTGATATTTAATTTAAAATTAAGTACGTAATACAATGCTACTAACTTTGTTTGATATAAAGTTGTATTTGAGTCCATTGGTTACACTCACTTCTTATTGTCTTTAACAGAATGGTCATAATGTATAAAACGTTGATGCGGTTAAGTCACGTTTCAAAACTAGTTAAGTGTATCATGAAGAAAATAATTCAAGTTTTATCTACAGGTATGTGGTTAAGATACCAATATTTTAAAGGTATGAACAATAAGTTTTCCAGAGGGGGTAAAAGAGTATTACCAAAAATCCTCAAGGGAAATTGAGAACTTAATACATTTATTGTTCTCACATTATTAATACACTATAGACATCAGTATAATACATTAATAAAATATAAAATTAATCTTGTTTTAAATTACTTAGTTTTATTTAAATTGAAAATCATGTTAAAATAGTACAGTTTTTTTTTTTTTGATTTATAATAAAATTCATTCGTTTAAACTAATGAAAAAATAATTATTTAAATAGAAACTTGTACATTTGAAGTAAGATGTGGCTATTATATATTATAGGAATAAAATTCGAAATCAATTTTAATAGTTAACACATATTTGAAAATACGTTATTTAAATAATGTTAGATAATAATAGGTAATACTATAAACATAAAATTTGAACTCAGTTTATTTACATAATTACTTAAAAAAAAATAAAAATAAAATTATGTATATTAATAATAATATTTTAAATAGATTTGATGAGAAAAAAAAATAATATTAAAAAAACAAAAATTTGATAAATTTCTCAACTCATTAAAATTAAATTGACTAATAACACATCATTATTTGATTTTTAAGAGATTGCTAAATATTTAAAGATCAGTTTTTAATTGAATGGATACTGTAAACCTGCCATTATAAGAGTATTAAATTGCTCATTCATTTGGTTTTAATTTTCACGTTTTTTTAATTAATTATGTATTTACTATTTACTATTTGGCATCAGACCTTTTTAGACTCTTGTATATAGTCATAGGTAATGTTTTAATTTTTTTTTTAAATTATTTTTTTTAAAATTGATTATAATAATGGTTGAGTATGATTAATAAAATATAAACATTTTATGAAATTCTTATTAGGTACTTATAAAAACTAAAGAAACGTGCAAGTTGCAAATTTGTGAAATTAAATTTTCTGTATCATGTATAAAATAGTGAAAGTATATTTTTATAAATAATATTTTTGATGTAGGTAATAAAGCTTATATTTAGAACAAAGTTTTCTACCTTAATAATTAAATGCTTGATTTACATACATGTGAAAATACAAATTATTTGGTTCAGAAAATAAACTTTTATAGTGTTCTGAAATCATTATATAAGATATGACTAACTATAACATAAATAGTATGAAACATTTTTAAATTATTATTTGTATTTAATTATTAAATATTTTGAAATAAATAAAGATAAATCAAAATAAAACAAAATATTAGAGTTACAAAATAAATAAACAATTTTTTCTAAAATAAAATTATAGATGCTGAAGAAGATTTATTTTTAATTTAAAGCTATAAAAATAATATAAATAATGAATGTATCTATTTAATAAATAGTACTTATAAATACATCAATCATACAATATGTATATGATAGGAAACGATTAAATACTACAGTTTTAATAGAATAATATTGAGTTTAATTATATTTAAAATTTAATAATAGTTGCATTTACAATGGAGTAATTTTTGTAATGTTTTATTTGTATATTTTATAAAAAAAAAAAAATCGTATTAATTATAAAAAACTATAAATACTCTCGTTTACCAATACAAATATTAATGTTTAATGTATGTACCATAATATTAAAAAGCTTTAAGCTTTTATTCGTCTTTTTCCATTACTTCACAAACATAAACACATTAACATATATGGATGTGCAATAAAGTACTCATATATTTGTAAGCTAATATTATTGTTGCCTGTTGAATACCAAAACTTTGTAACTTTTAGGAATTTAAATTTATTATTTTTTCCTGGAAATATGTTTCTATTCTTACCTTTTATTTATATTCCTAGTCATTATGAAAAATTTTAAAAATTAAACATTAAAAATAATTTTAATTTCGTAATTTGTTATAGTATCTATACGATAAAAAATTAATATTATAAATAGTTATATGTTAAAGTAACTGAGAATAATTTAAATTTTAATCTAATATTTATTAAAATTGTAATAAATTGTATAAAAAAAATGTAGAAAAGTAATAACTTACTCTATTCCTACTCGCTATGTCGTTATTGTTCACTCTATGTTCTGCATCCCATAATTCTGTATTGGCTAAAAACAAAAAAATAAAAATAAAACAGAGTCCAGAACAAAATTTAAACAATATCATAATATTTTAATCAGATAGTAAATATTATATTGAAGTTTTGTACAGAATCGATTAATAAAAAATTTCAAAATAAAAATATACCTATCTAGATAATTTGTGTTATTTAATCCATACAAAATAACAACAATATTTTGTACATTTTAATTTATATAATAATTTAATAGATATTATGGCAGTGTATATATAATTAAATGATTACTTACTATGGTAATAGAATTATTTTTAATTCTAAATATACCAAGAAATATTTATATAATATATATAAATAAAATATATTTATGTTTTAAAAAAAAATTGTAAAATTTAAAATGTTAGTTTAAAAGTGTGTATTACATCAGTAGGTATTTATTTTCTCTAAACAATTAACTCATAGTAAAAGGTCTATATCGAGCTATAGTTTATCACTAAAATAATCTAAAATAATATAGAAATAGAAATACGTAATAATAAATGTTTTTTATAAAACTTATTTGGTAAAAATTAGTTATAGAATTTAAGTATTTAATCTTTTTAAGTTTTAATGAAATATTTTAAGTTCTGTATTACTATTATATAAATACAATAAGTTGTATACGTTATCATAATAATCAGTCATTTAAAATTTTAAATAGAGTTATAAATGTATAGCCACAATGTAATATAATTGGTTTTAAAATGATATAATAAATATATTTTTTTCTCTTGGTTATTAATCACTTTTTGGATTAACAAAAAAATTAAATCATCAACTTTAAAGGTGGATTCTGATATAAAATTGTATATTGTATACAAGGTATTTTTTTTTTTATCGTGAATCACTCATCGTTTTAAAATTTTTTAAAATATTTCATTTATATAATTTAAATTCAAAATAAAGCAATTTTATTGAAATGTTAGGTATATCATTATAATTTTTTTAAGTTATTTACTTTTTTAAATGACAACATAAATTTATAATTTCTTAATCGGAATATTTTAATGCATTAAATTCTAAATTCAGACTTATAAATTTGAGTTATAGGTATTTAAAGTGTAAGTGAAGTAAGTAGTAGGTCAACATTTTGCAGTTTATTCCCGTAAAAACTCAAACTGTAAATACTTATTACTCAAAACATATTTGTTCAAATTTTGATTGCAATATTTTATTTTATAATTTGAAATTAGAAATGTATGTTGTTATTCAAAAAAGTAAAAACTTAAAAACTTATAACAATAACAATTATACATTTTTTTTTAAAGTTTTGTTTGACTTCGACTGTAGATTTTATAAAAAAAATATTTTCTAAAATTTTTATAGTTTTTGAAATAATGAGTGGTTCATCAAAAAAAAAAAAATTACTTTGTATAGTTGTTACATTGGGGATTAAAGAGTAAAAAGTCTTCAATACTTTTCATTATAATTGAGAAAAACAGGAAGGTTTATTTAAAACCAATTTTTGATAGTAACGTTTTTAATTACTATTTTTTAATTTAAAAATAACTAATTTTATTCATAGACTTGACATTTTCACATACAATTAATTTTCGAATTTTCTAAATATGATAATATAATGTACAAAATGCTTTGGAAATGCTCAACATCTTAGGTTATTTTTGATAAATCAGTTCGAAAATTTCTTATAAAGTTTCTCATAAGTTCTTATTATAGTGATTATTCGAAAAAATTGTAATTTTAATAATCAAGATTAAAAAGTGTAAAATATGACGCATTATAAATTATTATTTTTATGATTTAAAGAGTTTAGATTAAAGTCATACGCATTTTATACAAACGCTTATAGTTTATGTTGATAAAATTAGATTTTGTTCTAATATGGATACCAGAGTATACCGACATCCAAGGCAATGAAGCAGCAAACTGAGCAGCCAAATAAATAGTACAGACAAATCAAATAAAAATACTAATACAAACCTACATCGGCATCAAAAGACAAATAAAAAATGTATGCACATTAGAATGGGATAAAATATGGAAAAAATAAAACCAAAAACTTAGCGAAATTAAAAGAACAAGTGGCTCAAGTAAAAATAGGAAAAAACGAAACAGTCTTAAACAGAATAAGAATAGAACACACAAAATTACCCACGGCTTCTTAATGGACAAAGAAGAACCTCCAATTTGCATCACATGCGGAACACGCACAATAATCAAACATACTAACTGATTGTTTAAAATACGAATATCTCAGAAAAAAAATTACCTGCTTGAAAAATTATCCGAAATCCTGGAACCTAACAAAGATGCAAACATAAAAGTAACAAATTTTAGAATTGGACAATTTAATTTAGTTTTTTAATAAGATTGTGTAAAAAAAAAATTGTAATCTATACGCTAATAATCATTGTTATTAATTTTTATTTTGTTCATTATTAGTTATTCAATAAACGAATCGTGTTTAATATTCCAAACTTCCAAGGATTTAGGTTACTTAGTAAAAAAAATATCTATTGTATTGCATTAATAACTCAGATAAAGTGTACTGACAATTTTATTAATATTAAAGTTTAATAATTAAACATATTATTACGATTATTCATGAAGAAATAATAAAATATTTGTCAATATAAAGTATTACATAAATTACTAGGTACCTATTAGAATCAAATAAAAGTAGGTAAAAACGTCAAGAAACCCTATAGATCATGAATTATGGGTATAAAACAAAAAGATCTTTTAAAAAAATAATATTCCTATATGTCAGCTTTAAGTATAATATATCAATTTTATATAAAAGGTATATCAAATTGTCTAACATAATCATATACCTACATCTTACTATGGGAGATTTTCCTGACCATTACTATAGACATAAATTAGTCTAGCATAATATTAGTTTTTTTTTTTTAGCTATTTATAGAATTTTGCTTACATTATATTTTTATATTAGTAAATATATATGCGCAGATTGGGGTTACAAATACGCAATGATATTCATAATCCATTACAAAGCTACAGAAATAATAATAATACAACCGATAGTACTATTTCATGTGAGTTTAAAAAACAATATTATTTTATTATAATTATTTTACTTGCAAAAAATCAACACTGAAAAATCATATAAAAGTATATTATATTTCAAAGCATATTCTACCAATTTTTCAACCACAGTATTGTTAATAACATTCAAAAACTTACTAAGTCCATAACACATGTGTTTGTCCCTTTGTGGATCATCTAATACAAATAACTAACTTTATCAAATTTGTGATTATCTAACAAAATGCTAAGTTATCACTATCAACGATCCAATACTCTAAAAAATATGAATTTCTCATCGGTAGTTAATATAGTATTTTATAATAATATTGATAGTTTGTATTTTAACTATATTTATAATAATTGAGAAACTATGAATTTTTTACTTACACAGAGTTGTAAGAAGTAAAATTTGAGTAAATAAAAAAATAAATAATGGTAAATTTTGCCAAAGATATTAATTTTAAGAGATATTTGGTATATAATAAATTGTGACATATATAGTATCATTAGAATGTAAATTATAATTAGTGGTTAATTACGCTGGGTAACTATTTTCATTTTTTAACTAAAATCAACTTTAGTATTATAGTGATACGTATATATTACAATACAATATAGCCAACTTTATGAAATTTTTACAAAAATATGTAGAATAATTAAAAATATCTTTGTTTAGGCAAACTTGCAAATGGTAAAGAAAAATGGAGATATTCAATAAAAATGTGAACAACACATTAAAAAATAGAATAGTATTTTTGAATGATTTTTTTCAACTATTAAAATTATGGAAATAAATTACTTTAGCGATGAAAATTGAACGCACAATACGACGTGAATAGTCCATCACATTACAACAGTTTATAACATTTTTAAAAGCTGTAATTCAAATAAAATGTAAAAAAATTGTATAAATATAGGTACAATTGGATACATCTGGTTCGATATTTTTATTATTTTTATTTTTGTACAATTTATCAATTATTGCTAAAGAGGAGATCAAATTTTTACAATATTTACTAGCTTTCTTTTTGTAGGGTGTGATAAATTAAATCTACAATATTTAATACTGTAAAAATTATTTCAGACAATTTACAATCATATTCGCATAATATCACCCGGTCGCATTGTAACATATAGAGAAAAGGTAGATTTTAAATATGTCCCAAATATCAAATACATCTCTATTAATAACACTCTTGCTATGCGTGTCCGTTGAAAATTAAGTAAATATTATTATAGCTATAAGACTAATAAAGGGAAATCTCGTTTTGGGGAAAGAATTAGCGACGCGCGTTTGTTTTAAGCCTCTTTGACTGTTAGTACATCACGTATTCGATACCAGCTGCACAATGCGTTAACTAGTTTGCTATCTTTTAATAAAAAAAAAAAAAAAATAATAGAAATATAATTTTATTATTATTATTATAACTGACATTTGGACAGTGTAATTAATATTTTCAAGTAAGTTTAACTTTATTGTGATATCACTAAAAAATAAAAATGTTTAATATTTTTCGAAAATAAATATTTCATTGTATTTACATGACATCAAGCAAATTAACTTACAATGAGTTGCTATAGGTATACTTTACATGAGGTTATATTTTTTATATTACTATTCATAACAACATATAAACATACAAAAAAAATATAATGTTAAAGAGAAACAAAACTATTAATAAATCATATCAAGGTAGATTTTTAAGTCCAACCCACTACAAAACATAATTCAAACTTTAACTTTAAGTACTAATACGACTTATATCTTGTCAAAATCAGTTACACGCTATAAATAAATTATATTTTAGTAATTTAACGTATACCGATTCGGTTGTTGTATAATAAGTAGGTATAACGAAATTTTAATGACTAGTTCATAGCATAATATTTAGAATCTTAGAAAATACTTTTATGCGTTATTTTTTGAAATCTGAATAATTTCTATAACTTAATCACTGTACACAATTAAGAAATATTATTATAATAGAATATATAATTTATTTAATATAAAATGTAAATGTTGGGTGTAAAATGTTTTTTATTTTTATTAATACAAAGAATTAACTATGAAAAAACCCAAATTTTCATTTTTTTTTTTTTTTTTTTTTTAGCAGGTAAGGTATAAGGTCTATCAATAATAATTAGAAAATTTATGTTGACAATAATAACAATTTTTATTGTATTTTAATATTAGTAACTATTAACAATATTTAGACATTTTTTTTAATAAGCAATTTAATAATAATAATGGTTTAATCAATATAAAAAAGGAGAAGCAAAGATACTTGTAAATCGAAAATGCCCAGAGATGGTGACAAACGCATATTACACCATACTACCTATTATACGCGTAATAATAAAACTATTATACTTAAATTCTAGTTTGTCAAATGACTAGGAAAGCTTGAAATATTTTTTTTACATATATACAATATACATTTAAATGATGTTGTTCAAATACAATTTATAATTGTACATTATTAATTGAGCATGAATTCCTCTTGTAGGAAAAATATGCATAACAGACGAAACAAAGAAGAAAATCTTCATTGAATATTTTGAGATAAGATATTACAATATAGTAATACATAGGAAATAAATACGTATTAAAAGCAGATGAAACTATTTGTTAATGGTTTGATAAAAGTACCTATAGTATAATAATTATACAACATGTATAATGTATATTGTATATACTTTATAACATATAAATTATAAAATATATACAAAAGAAAGCAAGAAATTTGAAATAACACTTAACAATTCGAGTGTTTACAAAATATACTTTTAAAGTATTAACAAATGAATATAATGAGAAATTAAATAATAATAAATTCTTTAAAAGTTGCTTCATTTTACAACATCTCATAATAATAATAATAATAAAAAATGTTATCTTTTGTTATTTAATTAATAACAAGAATAACGTTGACTTTCATTTACTTATCTGTGTTACTTTAGAATGAGAGTTCAAAGGCCGTAATAAATATTATGATTACAAGTTATTTATCTTAGAAAATTTAGAAAATTTAAATATTAAATTATAACACTTAAACCATTTTTTTTTTTTTTTAAAGCTGAAGATGAAGTAAACTTCTAATATATTTCTAAATGAATATAATAATATAACTCAGTATTCAATAAAATAACATTGCAACTGAAGTAAACATTTCTTAAAAACGTACTTCAATGTATTTTATCAAATTGTATTATTATTAATACTTAATTAATAAATCTATACCAATTCGTTATTTATGCGTATTTATAAAATATTTAATTTTATCATTTATAATTTGTAAATATTGTGTAAAAACTAAAAAGACATTACGTATTTATAATCAAATCATAAAAAGCTTAAACACCATAACAGTTTTTTTTTTTTTATGAAAGCTAAAACGCATAGGTACCTATTTCAAATAAAAATTATTTTTTATTATAACTATTTTTTTTAAATTTACTATACACAATCTACTACATTAATGTTAGATAAATTAACAAGGTAATCTAAAAAAATTTAGACACTCAATGAAGGTACTTAAGTGGTTTTTATTTAATACAAAATTTATAATATTTCCAATTTTTTAAATATATTAAAAGTATTCCTGGATAAGCAGAGTTACAGGGAAAATATTAAAAATTAACGACCTAGTTCCTTTTAATATTCCAAGTTTTAGTTTTTACCTGTTGTGGTAACTGCTTTATAAACTACCTATGTATTATTTTTTATCTTTCTCTCTCCAATCGTTGAATAAGTCGGTCAATGTGATTTACCCGGTCCAAGGTCATTTCAGTGTCTTAGTTGCGTCACAACAAATTACATTATTTCATATATTTATATTATATGTACAGGATGATACATTTGATTACACTTAATTGTACAAAATTTTTTAAATCATTTTTAAATAATAAATCACACAATTTTATATGTCAATATTTTGTTCTCATATAAACTTAAAAAAATATAATAAATAATTTGTGTGACTTTGAATATTTATAAATAAAATTTAAAAAACAACATTCTACTCTAAACATAAAAAAAATAACGCGTGATAAACTCTTTTTTTAATAAATACATTTTTTTTATCAGTTAATGTGAAAAAAAAAATTAATTAAATATTTAAAACAAATTTTTTCGCATTAAAAAAAGTATAAAATATACAGTTTATATATTTGTTTCAATATCTGATTAACGTATTAAATGTTAAATGGATCATCCTATATACTGTAAATTTACTTCATATAATACGAATGTAAATACTACATACGACTATATGCATGTATGCTGGTATGGTTACCACTCATATCTTGTCTATGGGATAATTCATCATGTGGATTATCGCATGTCCCCTTAACCACCCTAGTACGTGAAAAGGCTTAAACACGCGATAATCCACAAACATGTTCTACGTGTAGGCAATACTATACTGTTCTACTGATCGTGAACGAAATGTGAATTATGCTTTAAGTACATTTTTTACTTATAATATTAGATTTGAGAATATATAAATTTCTCTATTTTAAACTTTCCAAATCTTTAAATAATATGAAAGAAATTAGATACTTCTTGAGGCCAATTTTATTAAAGTGTTACATTTCAACTAAAAATTTCAAAAGTTATTTTATATACTACAAATTGATTAATATAATATTAAATATTTGTTCAAAATGAAGTTTCAATTTATAATTTAATGTTCTGAATAACTCTAAAAGCTAAAAAAATTACCATATCAAATTAATTTGTAAAAAATATGATTGTTTTATCAAATAAGTATTCAATATTATAAAAATATCGTACCTAGTACCTACTGTAGCTTAAAATATTAAATAAGGTAAATGAATATCTATTTCTTATAATCGATATTAAGCGTTTGGAATATTCTTTTTTTATCATAATGACTAATAACTACAACATATTTATATTTTTAATCGAAATCTAATAAATATAATTTTTATGACAAGCAACATTTAAATTATTCTTTAATAGTATACGTAATATTACGCATCTATATTTTTGTAATATAACATAAGTTATCTTACTTTAAAAATAATATGTTTTTAGTTTGAATATATTTGGTGAATATTAATAAAGCTTAAAATTTATTTTTTGTCCAGTTACGATGAAACTTGTATTTTTATAAGATATAATAAATTTATATAGTTACACATAAGAATTACTAATTTTTCACTTAAATTGTATATTATTCTTAAGATAAAAATTATTATCTTTTTTTTTTTTTATCTTTATTAGCGATAATTTCTATCATCAAGAATTAATTTAAGTATAAATACAACACAAAACAATAGCACTTTTTAAGTTATTTCATCTTTTTAACTTTAAAATACCTATAAAATTATTATTTAGTATTTATGTTTTACTGTATATTAACTATTATAAATATATTATACTTTAATAGTTTGCATTTAGATTATAATATCTAATATTTATAAAAGTCATAATAATAAATACCTGTTTGGTCATGTAAAAGACGGTCCAATGTAACAGTATTATTTTTTTCAATCGTGTTATGACGATATTTGTAGACGTCTTTGCTACTAGACACGCAACCCATGTGCACCCCATTCGCCTTTCATTTATCAGCCATTACTTTGATCACCATCAGGATGGCATACTTAACTAATCTTCAAAATTCTCCATTCCACTAACGACAGATAGAGCTATAAATAAAATTATCATGATATAGTATGATTCAAACTAACAGTGATTTAGTTAATATACTTAATAAAATTAGGGGTATTTTTAATTCCGTAAATAATTTTATATGATAAATAAAGTAGTTAAAATTAAATATTTCAGTAAAATACTGGATCATTTTTATTTTTAGTGACTAGTTGTTATTTTTATTTTATAATCACATGTTATTGTTTATTATAAAATATGTGCAGTTAATTTTTTTTAAACTAAAAATAAGTGCTTAAAAAAGGCTAAATAATGAAGTGGGTAATCCAAATTTAAGATATTTTTATTTGATCATAGACCATAATTGTATAAACGTGTAAGTACAAAAAAAAAAAAAAAACATCTATAGCATAATTTCAATAAGTATAGTATATTGGTATGGGTTTCCTTCTTGTGATGAGGTAATTAGAACTTAATAAGTAGGATTATTTAACAAAAATAAACTTAGCTAAAATATCTGAGACACTTATTAATATTTAAAGAAAAAAAATGAAATATTGCCAGATAAATTGGAGTAGCATGCCTGCCTATTTCAAAAAAAAAAAAAAATCCAGAAATGTAGAATTCATCACAAAAAAAGTTATAAGTTATATCCTATAATTAAAAATGGAGAAGGCAAATAATTACACCATCTAATTCTCTCATATAATTTACTAATGAGGAATCAGTACTTAAATGCTATGAATATTTTCATTCATGTTCTAAATAATATAAATAATAATGATGATAATAAAAAAAATTATATTATTTAAATTTTTACTAAAATCATTCTAAATATGAATTGTTTTGCATATTTTTAACGACACTAAATATAATGCATATTATAATATAATTTTTTTTTTTTTTTAAATTTACGTTTATTATTGATTAATACTGTTCAAGCCATAATACGTATTATGAATTTATTTTATCAAGATTATTTTGCGTGTTTAGAAATTGTTACTTTATTTTTGCCTGCTATTGAGTTCTAAATGCATGCATTTTAAGTTTTTTAGTATTTTTATGATATAACTTCCACTGACTCAATTGATATAGGTACAGGAAATAATTTAATATATTTTAATTAAGTTTAATTCTTAGGATCCTTTCCAGTAGAAATTTAACTTAGTTCTCTCACTGGATTTCTCACAAGATTGAGGTTTCTGGGTGTATTTTCGTGAATTTCTCATAAAACTATAGAGAAATCCCCAAAATTTCCCTTAAAACATCTGTGTCTAATTTCACTTTATAAAGGCTATATCAAACTTTTAAAACACTTTTTAGTCAAAATAGTGATTATACAGCTTTTCTCAGAATCTAAATATATATAACTTGACTAATTAATACAATAAATTCTATCAAACATAGTTAGTTACAAGTAAAATATAAGCGTGTATATTTTACATTCAAATGAATGAATATAAAATTAGAATTTAGTAAATTACACAAAATATAACAATATTTATTGTTAGTTCAATCAACTTAATGTACACACACAAAATATATTTATATAACAATTAACAGACATGTTTTCATTTCAATATTTATATTTAACTTTTAAATGTGTCAAGTGTTTAGTATAATATATAATTCAGTAATGAGGTTATTGTAAATACTTTTATTTTAAAGGTTTATAGTTTTGTTCTATTTTGATATACATGAAGTAAAGCAATAACTATATTAATTAAAAATAAACTTTCAAAATTGTAACAATTTAAATGTAACTTTTACTAAAAAATACTAAAATACTAGAACATTACATAAACAGTAAGATATTTTAATTTCTGACACTCAGTGGCATATTCAAGAGAGATTTAGAGGTCAGGTTTCCTCACAGAACTTTTTTTTAATTTTATAAAATATTGTTCCTAGTATAGAAGTTTAATAAGAAACTATAAAAAAAAAAGCTAGGATTTTTGTAAATTTTTATTTAGCTCCATCTAAAAGACAGCCCACTGTTAAACTAATGGCTAATTAGTAATCATAGTATTATATTCATTTAATGTAAAATATTTATATTATATTATAAATTTAATATTATTATAAGAATAAAATTTGACTGGCCGACAATCACGCAAGCCGTTTTAACCGTTGTCGATAATAACACTGTGACAACTACACCCCGCATATCCGTCGGCTAATAATAAATTTTCTTACACTAAAAAGTCTTAAGAAATAAGAATAAAATACATAGATAAGTTTTAGAGGTTTTATGCATTTATACTAAAATATTATCAATTTTGTGGATACCTATAATGATTACTTGTAGGAACATTCTTATCAGTTTTGATTTCGAAAAAATAATTGATAAATTAAGTAAAAAAAAAAAAAAAATAATAATTTAATACTTTAATTATTTGTAGTTTTTTAATAATATTAAATTTATTTAAAAATATAAATGTTTTATTATTTATTATTTAAATGTACGTGTACACTAAGCCCAAATTTTTTTTCGATTCCTTCCGTACAAAAATTATATGTATGCGCCACTGCTGACACCAAATTTAAACATAATATAATAATATAATATTATATTAGGTAACCGTATATGTATTTCACAACTTTGACGTGTGGATTTATTCATTATATTCTTCATTTATTTTATCACAGTAAATCTAAAAGGAGTCCACACTTACCTATAATGTATAACTATTATGGCCCTTATATACTACTGGTATATCGAATAGTTCGCGCGCGGATGCGATTTTAAATTAGACCATACACACTATGAAAAGCAAGTGAATAAAATCTGCCATCGTCCGCGATCGATCGCACATGCTTAATTTTGAGCGAACATTCGCGGCGATTAGATCCATTGATATAGACAATACTAATAAAACACAAGTATTATGAGGTATCATATATTATAAAGGGAAGTATTTTAAATTTAAACATGAGCTGAATACATTATTAAATATGTACGTGATATTACGTGCATAAGTATTTCATAACGACAGTTGTTATTAACAATGATGATAGTCACCATATTACGACGAAATACTATTACATAGGTGTATATTTTGCGATTTAATGTACCTAAATTAAAGAAATGTAATCGTTATATTTATGTTAAGATTATATTTCCTAGTAAAGTTAAAAGCTATATATATCATGTCTATTATCTATTATAAAATGTATAGATTTCAAAAGAAACAATTTTTGTTTATTAAAAATGTAATTAAAAGTAAAATAAAATTACAATTGAATTATATCTTTGAGCATATTTTTATGGTTATGGTGTTATAAAGTTTGTAGGAATATTATTCTTTATTTCCAATAAAGGATAGCAAAACAAAATAACTAATAATTTAATCAATGAATGAAAACACCAAATATCTGATGTCATCAGTAGGTAATTGATATTATATATGGTTATTAGTCCGTCACTAGATAATCATTATAAGTATTTATTTATAATTTATAATCATGATGATTCGACAATAGTAAAGTTGTAGTGATGCAATGTGTTTAAAAATAAATATTATTAAACATATATTAGGTATACAATATATAATCATGGTTTATAGATATGAAGTTCAAAAAGATTAACCTTAATATTTATATGAGTGTAATTACTTATTAAAAATAGATAAAAGTCAGAAAATATATTATAAATATAAAATTATTTAAACTGAACAATGTATATGTAATAAATATGTTTTCTCTTAAAACAAGCTTTATTAGTTACACTTTGTTGCAAACAATGTATAAGCATACAAAGTTAATTTTTTATGAAATTCATCAAAATTACAAAATTTCGTAAATGATTTTGTAGGTAAAAATATGTAAAATTTTTAAATATATCATCATAAGTGTGAAAATTTAATACAAAGTTTTTATAGACCATATTTACTCAGAATCGCTTTTCGTATGTAATGATTTATCAATAAATTCTAATTTAACACATCCCACAACAGTGGCCCACTCAATTATGTATATTTATCAGATATTATTTAGAAAATCAAATTTCCAGATTTTTTTAAAATTTTAATTATGATTTATTATTTATTGAGAATAAGTAGTGTATTATTTTTAGTTTAGCATGAATGTTGGTAATAAATATTTCGTATTTCTTATTAATATTAATTCTGAATAGTGTACATAGATTTAGGAAATAATTTTTCAAGTTGTGTCAACAGCTTTTTTATTGAATTAAAAACCTAGTATAAAGAACTGAAAATGTTTTCTTTTTCATAAGCATAAAAGTAAAAATAAATATTTTATTAATCTCGAAATCTTTAAGTAACTAATTGCAATATCATGCATGATATATTATGTTGTATTATCATTACAACTATTTTTTATTGAGAATAAGGCTTAGCAGTTGGATCACTGGAGGTAATATTATATTTTTAATAATATTACGTATTTATAGGATAAACATTATGGGAACCTCATAAGATCGATTTGAGTAATTATAAAATCAACAATAAAATAAATATATTAAAAAAAAAAAAAAAAAAAAAAAAATAGGAAATAAATAATTGTTGTTTTTGTTAGTCAGTAAGTATAGATAGTTTACCTATGCCCCAAATGTTAACAATTAAAAATAACTACTATTACATTTTATACATAAATTATAATTATAAGTTGTGTCAATAGTTGAGATCATTATTTTTAAATTTAATCTAACATATTATATAGTATGTGAATAAAATATCGTATGTATATTACAGAAATATAATTTACTGCTTACATTTTTCACTTGCCAAAATTTAATTCTGTATCTACGTTGTAAATTGTAATACAGTAGGACTATAAAGCATACTCTGATGAGAAAATACTATATTAATACTAGTGATCGTCGTATTTCACTCATCTATATGGATAATATTTTAATAAAATATATCAAAAACATATTTAAAAAGATTAAATTCAATTGAAAGCATTGTTTTTTTCTTATGAACGAATCACATTTGCATTCATTCTATTATTTCTATTTCATATTATGAAAAAAAAAAGAGTTTTCAAAAGTATACAATTTATATTATTCTCCACT